AATTCTAACATGAATTAAACTTAATACATCCATTAGGCCTTACTTAAATTAGGCTTAGTCCCTTAACCTGAGCCTTAGGTTCAACCCAAATTGAACCTAAGCCAACCTGGACAACTTAAACCTTTTCAACCCAAATTGAACCTAAATAAACCTAAACTTAGGTTCAACCCAAATTGAACCTAAGCCAACCTAAACAACATAGACCTTAGATTAAACCCAAATTGAACGTAAGTCAACCTAAACCTTAGGTTTAACCCAAATGAACCTATGCCAACCTAAACAACCTAAACCTTAAGTTCAACCCAAATTGAACCTAAGTCAACCTAATCCTTAGGTTCAATCCAAATTGAACTTAAGTCAATTTAAACCTTAGGTTCAACTAAAATTGAACCTAAGTCAACTTTAACCTTAGGTTCAATCCAAATTGAATCTATGTCAACCTACATCTTAGGTTCAACCCAAATTGAACCTAAGTCAAGCCAAGTCAATCTAAATCTCACGATCAACGTAAATTGAATCCAAATCAACTTAAACCTTAGGCTTTACCTAAATTGAACCTAAATGAGTTTAAACCTTCGATATAACTTATATATCATTACATGCCATTAAGAGACAAGCTCTAACAGACTTCCATGCAGCAGACCCGTTACCTATAAAATCTTCTCTTAATGATGTTCTTCCTAACGAACAAGTCTTGAATTTTGAAGGGAAAGATAATCTTGTTGGGAACTTTATTTTTACGAAGCATCAACCTCTATGAAAGATGTAAATTCACATGAAACCATTCCTGACAGAGCAGGGGTTGGGTTATTCTTCATTGAGCCAGATTTAGGAATGTTAAGATTTGCAAACACTTGCTAGAACCTGTTGATCTCATTTTGGTGAGGTTTAAATTCTATAAATTACAATATCACCAAAAATAAGCATAAAATGTGTGCTTAAAATAGTATATTATTTTGGTGTATCACATACCTTGAAGAATGACATGTATCGAGGGTCATTTGTAATTTGTGAAGGAATGAATTGGAATATTGGATCCTTGGGCTTAACTACTTTGCAGGCCATACTCACTAGAGAGTTCAAACCGACAGTGAAATACTGCTGATGGTTTTTGATGAATGTTAAAATTGCTTCATAGCTTCTCTAATAGATTCATTCTGAGATAAGGTGTATATGTTTATTGTAAACACTTCTCTTAGCGCCGTTCTTGTTGAACCGTATAACCTATTAAGGCTCTGAAGTTCATTCAGCTGGTTAAGAAATATTTCTTTCATCATACAAAACATATTGAGTAAACCGTGTGGGGTGGCTCCATAATAAATCACTTACACATCTATCCCTAACATGACCCGACGTCATATAAGGGGTTCGGTCAATGTTTGTAAGATAGTAATAGTAGAAGGTAATGATTAGTGCGACTTTACGAATGTGGTTAAATTTTCTTCATCCATGCTATAAAATAAAGACAAGGATAATTTATAAACTTGATAAAGAAAAACATCAAAAAATTGTGGCGAAACATAAAAGGTGCAATGATAGAAAATAAAATTAGTGCATTAAACAAGATAAGACACAATATTGTACTATCATAGAAAAAGGTAAAGTGTTCATGCCAGAAATATCAAACATGGCTATAAGAAATAAAATCCATAATATCTTAAACAGTCAATCATCCATAAAAGTGCTTAAGTATTTAAGTCGAAATTTTGGTTCCAACTTTATAAAAAATTATCTTTTGGTTGGGTCTCGTAACAACTTCACGTATTTTAAATAGTCTTTTCTTTCCACCTTAACATTAGGAAATGTATTGAGGACTTGGAGACATTCCTCTATAGAGATGTCCTGCAAGGGAAAAGACATTGCTTTGCAGGTTTCAACCAGCGTGTCATTGGTTTCTTTGATGAATGTGACTCCATTATTCTTTTTGTCAACCCTGGGACGCTTTGGCAAGCTTGTGAATTGAATATCTGTATGGACTTGGCTGAGACCTTCTCCTGACTCACCTATCTGCACAGTTTCCATGTTCTATGATAAGCTGACAAACCCGAGATCATTTGGAGTGGACACATGAGCACCTGTTGCGACAACCCCAGTGAACACGCCATCCAGCTTCTCCTCTAAAACTGGATCAATGCCAATAAATTTAATTTTTTTGGTTAATGACACTGACTGAAATAGATTAAAAAATTTAATAGTGAAATCATTTCAATGTGAAATTTGATGCAAGATGAAGTAATATTAGTATTTATTTACCTGTAATTTCTCAGCCCACCAATCCTCTAGTGCATCAATTACCCATTTTACTATTAGTATTTATTTACCTGTAATTTCTCAGCCCACAAATCCTCTAGTGCATCAATTACCCGTTTTATTGGATCCCAACCCAATCTTGTTGATCCTCTTACCATATTTTTCAATCATTTTTTTAATTAATCACACTTGTTCTTCAGTTTCATCTAATCGTAATGTCTTCCAGCCGCTTCCTTGAATTTAATCATAAGATTTTGCGAGCATTCTTTGTTAAAATATGTGGTGGGCCTATTTCCCCCTCGACCTTCCTCAGACATATATCACAAAATTTAATAGTGACCTCTCTATCTCACATGACTGATGATCCGACCTCTTTAGCTTTACTCATTGAGTTCTATCAGATTAATGGATTAGCAAAAAATATTTCTTTTAATAGCAAGATATGTCCAAATAGAGAGATAAGTAATTTATGTGGTAGGCATGTGAACGCAAATTAAGAATATTTATAAGATACAAAAATGTAATGCAACTCATTGAGTTATATCAGATTAATGGATTAGCAAAAAATATTTCTTTTAATAGCAAGATATATCCAAATAGAGAGATAAGTAATTTATGTGGCAGACATGTGAACGCAAATTAAGAATATTTATAAGATACAAAAATGTAATGTAATTTGATTTTTTTAGGGACACGATATGTAAAAAAGGATTGGTAGAACCTCCAAAATCTATAGCATTAAAAAGAAAATGTCACTTTCCTAGGTCCTCAAATTTGATTTCCCTTTGAATGAACAACCAAATTTTGATCAACATTCATACAAATAATATTGACGAAGCATTAAGAAAATATGTTCTCCGTTCATTGGAACAAAAAAAAAAAACAAGAATTCATCTTATCAAAGTCGCATGGTTTCAGATATGTAAATCCATATAGACCGTGTGGTATTTAAGTAAAAATTCCAAGAGATAAAAAGTTATCAAAATACCAGAATAATATCATCATTAATACAGTCATTCCTGAAAATTCTTGTAATTTTCTCAAGTCAAATCTGATGGTCACAACTTGAACCGTAAGCAATGAATAAGTTCTAGTAATTTTACATCTAAGAAATTCAACATGTGCAAAATATTGGTGAAGACTGTAACCAATGTGAAAAAAAGAACCCAGTGAGATTGCATTTTGCATAAGATAAAAAAATAAAATGACATTCAAAGAAAATATGTGTATATTTTCACTGCGAACCTTACGGAAAATATAAGCAGAATGCAAATTAATACATCTATCAACAAGTTCATCCACAATAGTTAAGCCATTTATAAAAACTTTGTCAGCGAATGTTGCATATTAAAGGTAATAACCCTTAAATCAAAGCATTTTACTTCAAAAACATAAGAGGAAATCTTTCTGAAGATAATTACAAACATCCTTAAATTCCAAAGAATATTCCTCCAAACAATATTAAGTCAGCAAAGAACAAAGAGCATTCCTCCACACAAAAAGGACATAATTCCAACTCAATATCAAGTTTCTGCATTCAACTCTTTCTCAACGCAAACAGAAGATAAATTTCAGATCTCTAGTCAGGAAAAGAACTGCAAATTGTAGTTCAATTTTTTTTTTAAAAATTCATCATTGACATTTCACAAAGGACTGCCGCTTTGCACACCCACAAAAATTTCATCTCAACACATACAAAAGATAATATTTATCTGCCGCTTTACAGTTCCACACAAAAAAAAAACGATCCAACCACATTTCTCGAACGACTGCAAAGGATGAAGAAGGAAGTCGAGACATGCGAAGAAAAAGTTATACCTGTTGAGAGAAAATGCGGAAGGAGTACAAATGCCAAAGAAGGAAATGCCGAAGGAGTTAAGATGCCGAAGAATGAAGAGGGAAAACGCACCAGATCGTAAGATGAGGAGCACTTAGGGCATGCAAAATGCGAAGAAGAAAGGCCAAATGCGAACGAGGGCATATGCGAATGAGTGCAGGGTCACAGGAGTAATAATCCGAATGAAAACGCCACCCGCGGGTCGCGCCTTTTAAAAATTGAAAACGACGTTTCCGAAAAGTTTTGTATAAGTGCGAACCAAACAGGGCGGCGACGTTTTGAAAACGTCGTTCACACTTATAAACTGCCCTAAACAGGCCCTAAATCTCTTCTTGAGAAGGGCATTATCATATCATAATTTTCTTCGCTTTTATTAGCAAATATGCTTATTTATTTGTATATATTTTTTATTATCAAAATTAATTAATTAAAATCAACATAATAATCAATAAAAACTGTGTTATTTAATTATTTAATGATTCTTTTCCATATTCTTGTGTGTGTGTATATATATATATATATATTA